TAAGGCAATATGTACATATTATCGAAGGCCGAGAAGTATATATAGAGCGGGGAAAGCCGGAACTTCGCAGTGATGCTGTACCCATAATTATACCTCATCTCCTGAAGTGTCCTGACGAGCAGCCCACACCGGAGCAGTCAACGAAGAAGAGAGCGGCTTCACCACCAACCTGTGAAGACCAGCCGTCAAAAAGAACTGCGCTGCAATCAGTTGAGCCGCAACTGAGATTTGAAGATTGCGAAAGTGCGAGGCAAAGCGACAACGCATTTGAACTTGAAGACGTTGTCCGGCCAAACGACCACTGGGCAATGCACAAGTTTCGTCATTATGACGGAATTGCTTATGTTTCGGCCTCCCTAAGTCGTGAACTCGTAAGCATCGAAAAGACTGTGCTCATGAATTACGGTACCGACCGGAGTGAAGTGATTTGTCGGACATATGTTCGGAAGACGCTGATCTCCGAAAAGGTCGCCTATAACCTTGAAGATGCCAAACAAGTCCTGGACTGCGCAGAATCTCTTCACCCTTGCAGAGGAGCAGGTAGGGCGAAGGACTTCACCTATGACGTTCTTACGAAGAAACTGGAGCAGCAAATCTCTCATTCCGACGGCCTTGTCTTCAGTGTCACGTGCAAAGGAGCGGTTAAACAACAAGGTGAGTGCGGCAAACGTTTATTGAGACGTCACTTGTAATTGTACAATTAATCAATCAGTAACCTGTTTAATGCTAGAACATTTGTGTGGCCCCTAATTTTTGTAGTACTCATTAACATTTACGAAAGAATAGTTTGCCTACAGAAAGTGAAAGTGCATAAATTGCGTTTCAAACATGCATGGTAAAAAACTGGAAGCTCTTCATAATTTTTTTCTCGTATACTTCCAGGTTCTTCATGCATTTCATGCAAGTACGTGAGGAAAGTAATACTCACCAGAAAAAGCTACCTAAAACGAAAAGAGCGAAGAAACTCAGTCTCCACCAAACTGCGGGTCCTGAGTCAGAGAAACAAGCGGATGGCGACAAGGCTGTTGGACATTGCTGGTCGTCTCGAAGAGATGAGGGCAAACAATGCGAATGTCGCGGATAAAATACTAGAGGATAAAATATCGTCACTACCGCGAAAGCAGCAGGCAAGTGTTCGCGCTTGCTTTCAAGCTGCCAAACAAACCAGCAAGCAGGGCATGCGCTACAATCAGGAGTGGATCCTCGAGTGTTTACTCATGAAACTAAAGAGTCCCCGGCTTTATCAGCACATCAGAAAGAACGAAATTCTCATGATGCCCAGCAACACTACTTTGAAAAGATACTTGAGGTCATACGAGTCGGCCTTCGGTTTTAATCAAGCAGTAATGAACACTCTAAAGAAAAAAACCGCGAGCATGTCAGACCTCGAAAGACACGGCGGACTATTGGTGGACGAAATGAAATTGTCAGAACATTTCAATGTGACGGCGTCTGGCCAGATTCAAGGCTTCGTGGACCTTGGAGAATTTACGAAGCCCGAAGACAAGTACCAGCAATGTGATCACGGCATGGTCATCATGTTTGTGCCTTTCGCTGGAAAATGGAGCCAAATTGTGGGCGTTTTTGCGACAAAAGGAAATGTGAGAGGAGACATTTTATTGAAAATTCTCATGGAAGCTACCATCCTCGTGGAACAGGCGGGCTTGTTCGTCGACCACATCACTTGTGACGGAGCCCCCTGGAATCGAAAAATGTGGAAGCTAGCGGGGGTGTCGGCGTCATCGAAGAAAATAAATGGCGCCATACAGCATCCTGTCGACGAGATGAGGAAATTGCACTTTATCTCCGATTTCCCGCATCTGCTAAAATGCCTCAGGAATGGTCTTCTCCAGAAAGGCTTTGCAACACCAGACGGATTGGTACGTATAGATTCATGGTTGACATTTTACAAAGATTGTGTTTTTTACATACATTGCATTACCTCAACCTATATTTCTAGGTGTCTGTGCATCCGGTTCGGGAGGCGTACCTTCTAGACAGAAGTGTTAGGACACTGAAAGTTATGCCCAATTTGACCGAGACGCATCTGGAACCAAACTCATTTGAGAAGATGAGAACCCCTTTCGCCTTCCAACTATTCGGTCCATATGTCCTACGGGGCCTGGCCTTCTACAAGGAGGACATCGAGAGAAGGTGTGGCAGCATCGAGGCAACTCAGCTGTTCTTCTCGTGAGTTGCGCCTACGTTCCAAATGAATTAAGCGTAATCGTAAACATCTCAAACGCATGATGAGCGCTCTTCTGACATACATTCTTTTTGTTTATTTTGCAGGAAGATCCAACGACTGATCACCGTGATGACTTCCAGGTTTCGGGCCGAAGCGCTGAGACCAGCTTCTACAGACGTGGCATTCCTGTCCAATTTTCTGGGCTTCCTGAATGACTGGGAATCATTCAGTGACAACAAGCGGCACTTTCTCAGCGAGTCCACTGCCATAGGTTTTAGGGTCACTATAGCAAATACCCTTTCATTGCTGAAGTACCTGACAGAGAGCGTTGGATTCAAATATCTCATGACATCTCGACTTAGCACCGATCCCGTGGAACATTTCTTCGGCATCGTTCGCCAGTCAAGTGGCTGCAACGCGCACCCCTCTCCGGATGAGTTTCTAATAACCGTCAACTGCTTGTCCTTTTATAACTTGGCGCACAGTGTGGACAGCGCAAACGCAAACCCTGACATGATAAACGCTCTTGTCACTGTGCATGACAGACAGGGTCTAAAGGTCACGCACAAAAAAATTGATGATCTTATATCACAGGGAAAACTTGGCGAGGTCGAAAGCACGATTGCCACGATGCCAGAAAAGTTTGCTGACCACATCGATGTGACTTTGGAGAAGAGTGACTCGAGACTCATTTACTACACAGCAGGGTACGTGGCCAGAAAGTGTGTATTGAAGTTGGCATGCGTACAATGCAAAGAAGTGCTTCTGTTTGAGAAAGCTGTCGCGGTTGCTGAACAGCTCCCTTCGCAATTCACGGAGCAATGCGACTGGGGTGGACTTCTGTACCCCTCACGACAGCTGTATGATTTCATTGCCTCACTTGAAAACTTGTTTACTGAATGTTTCAGTGTTTCCATGTTGCACACAGATAGCATCTCTGACATCCTTTCATTGGTGAAAACTAATTTTCTGAACTCGAAAGCGGTCGGCTGTCCAGACCACAAAGATGCAGTGAGCACAAAGCTCGTTTCGTTCTACGTGCTCACTCGCCTTCACTTCTTAGTGAAGGGAATGAACAGGGAAAACGCTTCGAAACGAGCGAGAGCAAAACACTTAAAGCTTAGCAGGACAACATAGAGCCTGACGTTCCTTGAGCGACGGTGTCGAAGTCTTTCGATGATATTTATTTTGTTTTTTATATTTATGCGAAAAGCTTGCGCAGTCAATTTAAAATAAAATATTTTGCGCATATCACTTCTTTATTGGTGTCTTTCAGACTTCCTATCTATAGGTGAAAACACGTTCATGTTTCGAACAAATGTTTGCATGGACACGTACCGCAGGCACGAAGAGAAAAGGTAAAATATAACATATTTCATTAATACCTACAACGTATACCAGCACTAGATGCCGAACAAAAACTCATCATAAAACCACCGCGACGGACGTGCGTCCGCCCTATAAGTCATTTCCTACGAATAGCACAGTTGCCGTCCGATGTGACTAAACTTCCTTTGCCAACACCCTCACGTAATCGCAACAGGACTGGTTCAGTTTTTCAATAATATCACGCGTCCCTAACGAATAGCTGCAAATTTGCAGAAGGGTTCGCATACTTTAGCTTTAATTCTCGTGATAACAGCTGGTAACTTTAGTCTTGCATCATATTCAATTTGCTGCCGTGAGTCTAAATTTGCACCAAACGCAAACTTACTTATATATCCCAGTTATATTGACATTTTTAAAAGCATCGCAGTTAATGCTCATATTACACTTTCGATGCGTACGTTTTCGCAAAAGCCAAATTCAACTTACGCTCTTGATTGTAAACAATTACCGTGGAAATCACGGTACTTGCGTGCGTGACTACCTATACGAGCAGGGCGTTTCGCAATATAAACATTTAGATTTTGTTGAACTGGCGCGGAAGCACGGTGCGACGCCGTTCACGGCCACGCACGCACGAACGAAGCAACAACGCTGCGAGACTGCGCCAGACGCGCGAGCAGCACGCGAACCGCGCGAACTATCAGACTACCCACCCGTCGCGAACCGCGTGGCAAAGGGGACTTGTAACCATGGCAACCACGGCTAAGTCTTCAGGTGAAGGCGATGGTAGCGCCACCTGGATTTTCCGAAAAAAACGCCTCAGCGTGGAGCCTTCAGTGGACCCACTCCCCCATTCTAGTACACTCTACACCAGATATTTGGCAGTCCTCAGAGATCCTCAACCTCACCGCGTTTTCGTCATCAGTAGCGAGCTTGCACAACGGCCTCATGTTGGGCACCTCATGCGTTTCGTTGAGCATCCCCCCCCCCCCCGCCATCCACGGCGCATGGCGCCTCGCACTGCGCGTGCGCTTATCAGACTAGACTCGCGATTCAGGAGAGCACGAAGGTAACTTCGCTCGCTGCCACGGCAGCGTTTACGAAAGAAACACGCTTGTCACGCACGATAAAGACTTGTGACAGTTGTTTGCGCTCGTCCTGTGTATAATTGTGAGCGTTCGTTTTGGTGCGTGTATGATCGTTTCGTGCATGCTTTCTGTCTGAGGTGCGCACTGTAAGTTCCGAGTTGCTTGCCGTTTTTCACATGAAATTGCAATTTGTTGCTGTAGGCATACATTCCTCCGTCCTTGTGGCGAAGGTAAACGCTCAACTCAGGACAGGTATCAATTTCGTGTTATGCCGATTCCTAAACACAGGGATCAGCCATGTTTTTTCATTATTATTATTATTATTATTATTATTATTATTTTTATTATGAAGGACTACGAGACAAGGTAAAATCAGTAACATACAAAACACTCACCTTATCTTCACCTCCCGGGATAACCACTCCTCGTGCCTGTCGAAGCTGATAAGGATAGCGGCGATTTCCTGCGAGAAAAAAAACGAGAAGATTGAATGACGATTCAGTCATATGTTTACCGGCACTATCAAAACGTAAATAATTCAAAAGACACCCGGTTTATCCCCAACTATCGTTCGTCATAACCGTACTCGCACACGTTTTTCCAAGGTCTGATAACATGGGTAATATGCTATACTCTACAACAATCTTCGAGGAAGCGCTGCAATCCAGTAATGGAACCTAATCTCAACTCTAAGCAGGGAGTTGCCGCAGCGCTGTTTGTTCAGGTTAAACTATAGTGGCACTGACACCGACAACAAGGATTTTTTTTTTCGCCGACACTTCAGAGTAGAAAACAAGACTGTACTGGACATCTTGCGAACGAGAGGCTTTTCCAAATAACCAGACAAAGCTAGGAATACCAAGTGCAGTGCATAAGCGAGTTTCACGCCGCCTAGTAGACCTATGCGGTACTAAAGACTCCGTCAATATCTAATACAGCAGAGTCTCGAACAGCTACAGAGACACAACAGCTGACTAAACGCCGGTCTATGTAGCCAGGTTAACACTGCCTATAGTGAACAACTAAACAACCAGATAATTAACGCAGGAGAAGCATCTTCGATAAAAGCGTTTCGTGCCCGACCTTTATTCCCTACAGGTAGCGCAAGCTCGAGTTTGCGCGGCACCGTTCACCGTCCTAGCGGAAAAAGGGGCAAAGCTCCGGTCACTTGGACGGGCCGTGCTTGCATGGTTTTCCCATTGCACGCGCGAAAAACATGTTCCTTGGGACGCTTATCTCGCATTTCGCACGCTATGGACAGCGCTTCTTCGTCATTCTAGAAAGCAAGCACGCACTACTGCTGCATTGTGGGCGGCTACAAAAGTTTAAACAGGACGAAGGCCTGAAAACTGCCGGTCAAGTTCGACAGTTTCCAGTGCAAGCAGTGGGAGGAGCAAAGGCGTCAAGAGTGGGTTATGGCAGTTCGCCGATACTCCGTGGTCTCGTGACTTCGAATTTTTTTTGTCGTGCACAGTACTACAAACTATTATTTACCTGAAAGAAACGCGATGGCCAGACTCATATTAAAGAAAGCATGTTTGTAAACTGAAACTACAGCAAATAGGCAACCGCTGCACATTTGGCGATTGGGCTCTGGCTTTCCGAGACAACCAGTGGTAGTGCGAAAGCGGCGGAGCTTGCTAGACTAATATACTCAGAATACCGTACGGTGAGCCCTGCAGGTGTTTTATTCAGCTGATGGTTGTAGAGTTATCGTCGCTGCTCAGTGCAAACTGCTTTGTGCTGCGGGTTCGCGCTGAGCGTTTATACGTACAAGTCTTGCAAGCAGCACCCACCGATAAGTTACCATGATGAAATGTTGTGATGCTAGGATTGAAGTCATGAGTTCAATTCTCACAAACGCCAGCTACATTTCCACGGGAGCGAAACGCAGCAACAGTGCACTCAGATTTTGGTGCAAGAATGATAAACAGGGCGTGTTGGTGCTGCATATTTCAAGCGAACGGTGGTATGACACTCAATTTAAACAGAAGTGATGCTCGGTGTGTGTGTGCAGCCTCTGTCCGTAGTCGTCGCGCCGTATACACTTCAAAATATATTTAGGTGCACGTTAAAAGAAAAAAATAAAACCCCAGGCGACCGGAATCAATCTGGAGTCTCAATCCACGGTGTGCCTCCTAATGATATGATGGTTTTGCCGCGTAAAATATTATGCCCTTGCATGCACCCGAGCCGTGGGTTATAAACAGCTGCCGCTTTGAAAACGGGTTGAAAAAGAACCAAGGCAGATGTAAAATTTTCCATGGCTTCACGAAATTTGACGTGGTTATCAGGGGCGAATCCCGGCGTTTCTAAAAACATGCTCGACCCTAGTGGGTGTTGTGTGATATGACGACGACCAAGGAAGCTGTTAAAGGAGCCCCGACATCAAATTTCAAGATCGAGATGTGCCCATCATTCAATCACTTAATATGCATAGGTCTTCTTGTCCAAATTTGAATGGCATCCGTCACGCCGAACTTACGTTAATTCGACGTCAAACAGCGTAGAAAAGCTGAGGAGATAAAAACGAAAAATAGACTGCCCTACAACATAGACACTAGTGCTACGTGTTCGGTGTGATACATTCCACAAATATCATCCTGAGCGACGATATGCTGGTGACGATGACGTCGACGATCTCCGAGTGTGTTTGGAGCTGACTGCCAGCCAAGCTCTCACTAGTAGCTCTCCTCGCTGTGTTGAAGCGTGCGTGCGATTCATCGTGTCGCATCCCACTCATTTGCGTTGTGCTCCACTGCGGGTGAGTACGATCATTCAGAGCGACAATGCGTGCCAGAATGTCGGGGGACCGCTGCGTAGTGAGAACCTGCACGTCGAGGAGCGGAAAAGCGGAAAGTGCGTGGCGTTTCATGCCTTTCCAAGCCACGAACCCCATTGCAGCCAGTGAGTTTTGACTTCGTACGCGCCGTTGGACAGTGGGACTGGACACCTGTGAAGAACAGCCGCCTTTGCTCCGTTCGCTTTGCACCGAGCTGCTACAGGGTAAATCCTATGTTGGCGGACCAGTTAGGTTTCACTGGCCGTACGAGGCCTCTTCTCGAGGCCGGGGTCATCCCTACCATGTGCCCTGCTGCAGCTTAAAGCAGCGATTCACTGGCCAAACGTCCGCGACATGAGGTGCGTAGCTGGTGTTTCTGAGCTCCGTCAGTACAGCCGGGAATGATAAATACACCGAATTTGATGACACGGAGCTTGTCAAGCAAGGATCGTCGCGAATCGCGGCGATACCCAATTCCAGGTCGCTTTCATCATCACTTGCCGATGTTGACCGAGACGACGGCAGGGACGACGATGTTGGCGACAGAGGCATGCCTACGCCTTCGGAGACACAGCTGGGCTGGCTGTACGTGCGCTCCTGTGACGTCACCATTTTTTTTTTTGTGAAAGCGCCATTATCTGTGCAGCGGCCTCGACGTGTACGCGAGGTAGCGCTGCCAGCACTACAATTTGGCGGGCTTTCCACCCATTTTGAACCGCGTTCGATAGCGAATATATTAATCAATATTACAGATACTCATTCGTCACTCAGATGCGTTTTAGGTCGCGAATCGCTACTAGGGGGTCGATAGCAGCTCGTTGACGCAAAAATATTGAAGTGAGTAAATTTAATGTCAGTGCTCCTTTAAAACAACCTAATCGACATTAGAATCAGTGAGCACGCTGCGTGATCAGGCATGGATAATATCCGAAATAAAATATGTGCTGCAAGAAACATGCATGGTCGAAGTGGACATTAAATACTTTTTTGTGCGCATCGTTATACTTTCAAAGGAGCTGCAAAAAAACAAAAACAAAAGCGTCATTGAACACACGCCACAATCTTCTTAACATCTGATGAAAACCTCGGCAAAAGTGAAACTCTTATGAAACCAAACACACTGCATTAAACGATGCCAGGGACTGAACAGCGCAGACGTAAGTTCAGATTCTTCACACTGACTTCCTACTGAATTGAAAGCCACCTGACAAACTTGAAATTCAAGCAATAGTTATGCTAATGCTTTATACAAACGCACGCGAAAGCGTGGTGGTTGTTTGATTGATATGTGGGGTTTAACGTCCCAAAACCACTATATGATTATGAGAGACGCCGTAGTGGAGGGCCCCGGAAATTTAGACCACCTGGGGTTCTATTAACGTGCACCCAAATCTGAGCACACGGGCCTACAACATTTCCGCCTCCATCGGAAATGCAGCCGCCGCAGCCGGGATTCGAACCCGCGCCCTGCGGGTCAGCAGCCGAGTGCCTTAGCCACTAGACCACCACGGCGGGGAGCGTGGTGGTTGTTTGCCGACAGCTCCGAAAAGGCACGAATTCCACAGCGAATGCGCGTTTTACCGGTAACAGATATATCATTCGCGCCGTCACCTCACCTTTAATGTCATAGAAAGGCAGCTGTTCACGATCGACATTCACAGAGCACTCGCTCAAAGACATCGCATTTGATTTGCTTGGTCCCGCAAAGGTTGTCAGTGAATCGCTCTCCGTTCTGATAAGATTCTCACCATGAAAACGTTTTTATAATCTTTTTAAGCCTTCGGAGCAAGTCACAGGTGACGCTGCACGTGGAGGGCGACCAGATAACAACGCGTGTAGAGCAATTGAACGTGCTCAGATAGCGCAGGCAGAAGGCAAGAACGGGGTACCGAGAGACCGGCTTTTGCTAGAAAGGCGGCGAATGGATGGATCGATATGGCTGTACCCTTTAGATCGGGCGGTGGGTAACGCCACCAAGCCGTAATACTTAGTGAACCAAAAACTAGATTTACCTTCTTTTTTTTCCTTTAAAAAGTGAGGTTGAGGACTGGTACTTTGCAGTGAAGGGTCTACTTTTCACTCGTGCCTCGACTTTAGCCACCGATCAGATAACGTCCTTCTAGTTAATTCTACCCGCTTAAAGTCTATTTTGCCCTCCCTGTCCCTAAACCCCAGTGCTTTGAAAAACTCTGCGCCATCATCCTGAACTATAGGGTGAAGCGCTTTACAGAACATTGTCAAGTGTTCGGAAGTTTCCTCCTCCTTTTCACATGCACTGCATACCGTGTCTACTACCCCTTCGTATTTGGCCCAATATGTCTTGGTTCGCAATACTCCCGTCCTCGCCTCAAACAGCAGAGAACTACCTCGAGTATCATCATAGATCCCTTTCCTTGGCAATTTCCTGCTTAGAGGTTCGAAAATGCATGCGGCGCAGCGCCCCCTGGCCGAGGTTGGGAGGCCCAACATCTCGAGAAGATAGCCACACGCAAACGAGTATATAGGGTCGCCTACGACTCAAAAGCAGTGTAGGCCCGCCACGATTTACGCGTCGCGTTGTGGGGTTCGCGTAAGCGCATACGACGCTTTTTATATTGGTATTGCAAATTGGTGATGACTGTAATGTGTTATTTTAAAACGTATATGTGTCTACATCTGTTATACTTGTTCAATTTGAATTT